TATGCAATAAAGTATTGGTTACAATGGATCTACAATTAATCCAAACGCTAATCCTAATCCAAACCCTAATCCCAACCCCACCTCCCAACCTCTAACCCCTAACCCCACCTGCTAACCCCACACCCTAATCCCGGCCCTTTACATTTTAAGATTTTTTCTCAAATTAAACGGTAATTTATGAAACTTAGAGCTTCTATAGTTCATGTTTTTTATTTAATACGTAAAAAGTTAAAGCAGCAAAATTCGTAAACATTTTAAAAATATTCAAAGCAAACTTGCCGTATATTTCACGATTTCCCGTAATAAACCAATTCTTCTCATTTCTTCAAACAAAATTGCTTCAAGCTTGTTGTATATGAAACGTTTTTGCAAATATATGTCTTTTAAAATTGAAATCTTGCTTGCCATATTTTTGAGATAAGTGAGGATGACCACCCACCACTGAGCTGTATATATAGTATAGCTCAGTGCCACCCACTCAGGAATCAAGATCGTCGTTCGTTGGTCAGCGCCCGCGATGATTGATGAACTTTAGACTTCGCTAATGCTTTCGTTTCCCCGGGTGTAAATAGCCGGGGGGAATTAGTACCCTCGCACGGCGCTTCGCGCCGCCGGCTCGGGGATAAATAAGGGACCAGTCATAAAGTATAGGGGGGGGCTGGAAAAATCAAATCTTCAACTGTATATTTTTCTTGGCCCACCCCTGGAATAAGGCTTAATTATCAATGACCCACCCTTAAAGTCATGCACAAAAATTAATGACCCACCCTTTGCTAAAAAACAACAACAGGCGGAAAACTCATGGATCACTTTCTATTGGTGATATTTTTACATGTTTCAAATTCAGTTTCATACATGATTTATTGCTTGGAAAACACCAAAACGTTACATACGACTCTTTTATAATAAAGTAGAATCCAACCCTACAGTGTGTAATCGTTAATTTAACCCTTACAGATCACTTATTATTGCCAAACGTCTCTATCCCTGTCATTTAAGCTCCTTCACCATTTAGGATGCAATCATCTACAGTCATATGATCACACTACGATAGATAAACGACTCCACCCTTACCATCACAATCATTCAAACTCACTGTACTATTGAGTATGTTGAAATGCGTACATGGGTTGCCTTTCCTACCCATTTCCAATCTCTCGCTTTTTATATCATGTCCCACAAAATATTTCACCTTTTTTAGTTCCTATATATAATCGTAGTTTCCATAGTTTACATTTATTGACATATATGTTCACCATAGGAGTCGGAGTACGAGGCCGTAGGAAGCTCGTTTTGATTGGGGGGCTGAATGCGAGGGCCGAAGGCCCGAGGAAATTTTTTAATTTAGAGTCACTGAAATGCCATTTCCTGGACTTTGGGGAAGATTTGACAAAGTTCTGGTGGTCAGAAAACAGCGTTTTAATATGTCAAAATTTACAATTTAGTAGTACGTTTTAATATGTCAAAATGTACAATTTGGATAAGTTTCAGGAAAGTGTGGGTAATATCTTCTTCATTCTTTGCAGTTTTGCATGGATTAGATGATAAAGGTCTGCATGATTTTGAAAAAAGAATGATTATTAGCAAATTATTGGGGGCCCCCTGGTTGCTACGGCCCTGAAGTATATAACAACCATTTTGAATACTGGTCCTCTAATGGACAACTTGCATGTTAGACTAAATTTTAATCTAAGCAGAGAAAAGGGAATCAAACACCACAGCTAAAAAGAACGTACTGAAATTAGTAAAAGTGCAAAATTTGGCTGCAAAATGTTGTAAAGCTTGGAAAATATAGCCTTGCAAAGTTTGCATATTTTCAGTATATTTGTATTACGAGCGGAAATTGTTACCATTTTCGGCTCAAAAATGGTAACAATTTCCACACGTAATACAAATATACTGAAAATATGCAAACTTTGCAAAGCTATATTTTTGCCTAGGTAGGCTAGATCAAAAATTTGTCTAACATGCAAGTTGTCTATTACTTCCTTCATTAAAACTTACGAAAAAAGTTTAGTACACTGCGTTTATATATACATTAAAGTTTGTGTAATATGACTAAAAGTTTAGGTTGGTCATGTATTGTGTGAGCTTGAATAATGTGTGAGCTTGAATAATTAACAGTTAACCCATTGAGTAGCATTGTGCCCTGATACACCCCACTATTTTTCTCATCAAGGGGAAAGTGTTGTCGATTATGGGTTAATTAACAGTGTAAATTGAAACATATTCACACATGACCCACCCCTAATGTACTGCACAATTTTCTCTGGCCCACCCTTTTTTGCAATCATGAAAATAGTGCCCCCCCCCCCTTTTTCTACACCCCCCCCATACTTTATGACTGGTCCCGCCTATTCAGGTTAAGTAAATTCACCAAAAAGCCTGTTAAGGTTTCTAGTACGTTCCAGTACGTCCTTAGCCCAATATCATTAAAAGAAAGTATTTGTAATTATTAAAATCTATACATAGGGGGAAAAATTTAAAAAAATAATAAAAGTACAAGATTTCTACTCCTGGGAATTTAAAATAGCTTCTAATCGCATGAATTGAAGAGCACAGCTGCATAAAAAATTGTCAAATTACTAAGGTGCTGTTTACATGAATCCGGATTGACTTTCAATCCGGAATGAACTCATTCCATTTTAATACAAACCCTAAATGTTTACATGAGTCCGGAATGAGTTACAACTCGATCTGGATCGAGTTCGATCCTAATCTCATTCCGAATCGAGATTTCAATTCGGATGGAAATTTGGCTTCGATCCCATGTAAACACGAATCGAAACCCATTCCGGAATGAGAAAGCGACCGAATAAGATGACATGGCTACTTTTCTCTTTCTTAAAATAATATTTTGAAAAATCAGTAGCTTCATGCACGTGTTTAAAATTAAATTAAGTGTATTAGCGCGGAAACAGCAGAAGAGAAAACTAACTTACATCATTCGCCATCTTGGAATTGAAATTTCCCGCGTAAATTCCAATCCTCGAACCCATTTTCCATGTAAACACGGATTGACTTGACATTTCGATCCAGAATAAAAGTCAATCCGTTTTCATGTAAACAGCACCTATAATTAGTCATATCGCTTCTATTCTGTTTACACAACCCGTGGGTTCAGCATATAGTAATAAGGCATTCAAATTCCAACAAAGGCTTGATTTCAAAGGGTGTATTTTTTTTGAGATACTTGTATAAAAAAAAAAGTAATCCAACTTTAGCATGTTATCGCGAGTTATATATCACAATTAAGCATTTACTTTTTTCATATGAATAAAGATCAGGCGTTTAGCTGCCTATATAATGATACCTTACTTAGTATATCATTGCGATAAAAAATAGCCAAATACAATGCGATTTAAAAATGCAGCTCAAAATCGCATTTTTCCACCGTTGAGAATTGCTATATTAACAAGTATGGGTCCAATCCACACATAACTTAATTTACCTTTTATTCTTAAATTAAACAGGGTAATTTAGGAAACTTACAGCTTCATTGAAAAGGAAAACGGCAGTGCAAGTTTTACGCAATAAATTATTAAAGCAACAAAATTCATAAACATCAAACATTCATTCCATAGTAAATCGATTCTTCTCGCTTTTGAAAATTGAAATCTTGCTTTAATATCCTCAGTGTGCTTATCGCACTCCTGGGAAACAGCCATATTTTTTAGATCAGTGAGGAGGTCCATCATAGCCATGCGCCCGCGATATTTCATGAACTTTAGACTTCGCTAGTGCGTTCCTTTGCCCTGGTGTAAATAGCTGGGGGCGTTAGTACCTTCGCCCCGGGCTAACGCCTACAAAGTCAAAGGAAAGGAACAAGTCAAACAAGATTTATATCATTATATGTAGTTCATGTAATAGGTAAACACCATATATTGTTGCTTCTTTTGCTTTTAGAAGAATATTAGGTCCTTTTTAATTTCTTTAATTTATTCTTCAATAATTTGTTTGCAATCGTGATCAAGCTAGTATCCTACACGGATGGTCAAAAAAAGATTAACACACGATACCAGATTCCTACCAGAGGACCTTGTGCTGCATTTTTCGCAGTCGTTCCTGGTCAGGTCTTAAAACGTATATATATATATATATATACTCACTCGGATTACAAACCCTAAGAACAGCATTCAAATATTAACACACGATAACCTGGCAAAGTTGGATTACCTTTTTTCATACACCCTGTTCTTGTATGTACTCCCGCCGATAACTCGGTCCTTGGAATGAGCCCTAAAACGCTAGTGGTTTTGATGTCATTGAAGAAATAAATACTCTATTCCTCTATTTATCCCCAACCTCTTTTTATCCCCCACCTCCCCATCTTTTTTTAGCCTCAAGTTCACGGTAGTGTTGCATGAAAAACTATAAGCCCCCTGCTGCATGTAGCCCCCAATCTCTGTTAATTAAATCATTCTCGTGATAATGCGCGCTGTGTGTACTAGGTTCACCGATATGGCTAAATAATGGTAAATTGTATGAACATTTCTGTACAATAGACCTTACGTATAATGACGTCACAAGGCTTGATGCCCGCGAGGAATACCGGTCTTAGTAGTCACTGCCGGGGGGAAATTAAACATTTCAAAATGGCCACTATCCAAATTTTCCCGGGAGATGACTACTAAGACCAGCATTCCTCGCGTGCATCAAACATTGTGACGTCATTATGAATAAGGTCCATCGTTTCTTTAATGATGGTTCTGTAAATTAAGAGAAAATGAAAAACCAGACCCAGTCCGGAACCAAATAGAGGAAATACGGCAAATACACTAGTTTCATATATTCTCACACATAACGAAAAATTCGTTGCTGTCTCGAGCGGGATTCGAACTTAGCATGAAGATTGGGGTCCGCTAGGGGGTTTTAGCACATGGTAAGTAATCGGTTTTTAACTCAGGAATTGTTTGACTCACGCAGTCAAAACTCAAAATCTTGAAAAGCATCCCACTGTATTCAGCAGCCTTTTCAGATTGAAATAATCAAAATTACCTATCCAAATTACCTATCAAAATTACCTATCCAAATTACAGAATAAGAGAAACATACTGTATTTATTTAGCCACGGTATACTGTTTCACTAAAATTGAAAGATGTTTACAACACGTGATCATTCAATAGGCCGTGCGAAGATAGTTACATAATTATATAGTATTTCAAACACTCATTGATAAATATAAATAAGGTATTCTTAATTTAAAAGTTGCCAATGACTTCAAATAGTAAATGCTATAATATATTTATTATGATTCATGATTCATTCATAATTAATTGAATTTGTAAGAAAATATCACCACATGGTTTATAGTGGTGACCACATAACTTATGCGCACTGGCTAATATAGGGGGAAATATGCGCAAACGTTCGGTCGTTCTCCGAACTTTTTATAAGTTCTTTATAAGCTTTATAAACTTTTATAAAACTTATAAAGAACTTATAAAAAGTTCGTAGAACGACCGAACGTTTACGCATATTTCCTCTCATATCAATTGTTGTTGTATTTTATAATCGTTGTGACTCTGGCCTTTTATATATATACCAAGTGGCCAGCATGGCGAAATCCCAGATTAGACTATCAATCTTCTGCATTCGAACCTCTACTATGAAATATACTTAGAATTATATCATCTTCCGTCAGATTTATTAAGATTGGTTCTGACATACTTCGATGAATTCTCGGTAGCGATTGAATGATGGCGTCCAAGTCTGCGAGAATCTGTAAGTATAAGGTCGATAAATTAACAAATCTTTACTAACAAATGCAAAATATCGTGCGGATGGCCACGAGCGGGGGAACAATCACATTGCATATTTTGAAATTCAGAAATTGTTCATGATTTGGAGGGTCCAGTCAAGTTCTGGACGAACGCAAGAAGGGCATGGGAGAGCACGAAAAAGCGCAAGAGTTGGTATAACTTTTGTGCGTCCACCATCACTCGATTGAACACGTCAAATCTAAGTTGCGCTGTAGACGCCCACTTTTAAATCTCGTGTATACGGGCCAAACCATGAATATATATACACACTTTGTTTAGCGACGCTAGCCCCAACAACTACAAAAGTTGATTTCCACGGGGGGCGTCCATATAAAAAATATTACAAAGAATATAAAAAGGAAGGAAACTAAGCCTACTACAAATATGTACATTATCAAAAGCTACGGTAAACCACGATGGTGTGTCCCAGATAAATATATGATTAAAGTGAATCCAGACTCGCCGGTTATTAACATCAAAAAATTTGTTTTATACACCTTTTAAATATATAAATTGATTGAGCTTGCTTAGCTTCAAGTGGAAGGTTATTCCAAAGATAAGCATATATTTAAAGCTTCTTTTGAGAAATTCTCTGTTTGGCTTTGGAAGGGTCAGACCAGTTTGAGAATTTATAAGATTATAATTGTTTAGTAAAATATTTATACTTATGAATGCATCTTTCAGAATTGGTGCGGCACTATTACTCAAGACTTTATATAAGATGCTGCCTTGGTTAAGTACCATCTTGTTTCCAAATTTTCCCAGACAAGAGTTCGAAGAACGTCAGCAGATCTGATTGTTGAATGATGTTGCAGTTTGTTTTTAACCAGTCATTGACTAACATTGTTTAAATCATGATTTAAATTAGCATTAAGTTCTACACAGTCTTTCGCAGATGAAAATATCTGTGAATCATCAGCGTATAAGCATGGGGTTGACTTCTCAAGACAATCAGGTAAATCATTAATATACAATAAGAACAATAAGGGGCCCAATATAGATCCTTGAGGGACCTCACAAACAATCCTATTTGGTGCTGACATTGCGCCATTAACAAATGAGACTTGTTCCCTATCAGAAAGATAGGATTCAAAAAGTTTAATTCAATATTTGAAATCCCAAATTGTTCTTTCATTTTGCGCAAAAGAATATTATGATTAATAGAGTCAAAGAGTCAAACGCTTTTCGAATATCTATAAAAACTACACCATTTAATTCACCATTATCCATATTCTCATACCATGCATCGCATATCTGAATGAGTGCTGCCAGAGTAGAATATTTTGGGTGAAACCCAAATTGATGTTTAGAAAGTAGATTATTAGCGTTAAGAAATACATACAATTGATTGAAAACGGATCTTTCGAAAATTTTACTAATAATCGGTAAGATTGATATTGGGCGATAATTTTCACATTTTTCCCCATCTTCAGATTTAAAGATAGGTACAACCCAAGCCTTCTTAGTTCTTCCAATCATCTATGTAGACTCCAGTTTTGATAAGGTTAAAAATTCACGTTAGAGAAGGGCTAATTATTTCAGCTGAGATTTTAAGTACCCTTGCGGGGATAGAATTCGTGCCTGTCGATTTTGAGGTTTTTTAATCTTAAAAGATTACTTAACAAAAGAAATTTTTCGTATTCACTTATTTCAGACAGAGTAAATAGAGTCACTGGACTAGTACCGAGATTTTCTGACAAGTCCGGAGCATTATGGTCAATTTCAGCAGATAGTTTTGGCCCAATGCTCACGAAGAAGTCATTAAAGGCCTCCGCTATCATTAAATTATCAGAAAGTGTCGCCTATTTTTAATTGGGGAATGTTCTTTGATTTAAAATTCCTACCCAAGAGGTGACTAATATGGTGCCAACTTTGTTTAGGATCATTAGTCTAAGCACAATCCTCAAATTGGTCGCAAAAATACCTCTTTTTGGCTTTGTACAATTCAGAGTTAACTTTATTGCGGGTGTCTTTATACTTCGCCCAGTGTAATTGAGAATTAAATTTAACCGCTGTCTTTTTGTGAAAATCTCTAACTTGCTTTCATCAGATTTTTGATATTTGGAGTAATCCAAGGAAGTGAATTGCCTCGGATTCTCATGCATCTAAATGGTGCATGTCGATCAAGTATTTGCAAGTAAAAGGATTTCCATAGTTGCCAACAAGAGTTTGAATTTTCATATTGTGCCACATTTTCCCATGGCATCTGTGATAGATCATTAAAAAAGTCCGTAGCATTGAAATTTTTAAAGTTCCGGACATATCTAACATAATTTGTCGAGATTTTGCAGTAAAAAATTCTCTTGCAAAAATCAAACTGTGATCGGATATACCATATGGATATACCAAGATGAATAACTCCGGATTTTACAATATCTTCTTTCTTATTAGTAAAAATCAAATTGATCAAGGTTGCTGACGTTCTCGTTACCCTTGTGGGTTCGTTAATTAACCACTCAAGCTAGCTGGTAGACGCATGAAAGAAATTGCAGTCTACGCGTGTGAGCATCAGGAGGAAACTTACTAAGATCACAATTTAGATCACCCATAAGTAATAATTCTTTGTTTTCCAAGTCACATCTACTAAGAAAATTTTCAAAATCGTCAAACAGGCGAGTATCTGAGCCAGGGGGTCTATACCACGTAGTTAGTACTAAGAATGGCCTACTGCATGGTCTACTAATTTCTACACATAACATTTCCAACGAGCATGCCGTTTGTAAGTCATTCCGTTCGCTAAAAGGAATAGTCTCCCGAATATACTTTTCAAATATATTTATTGAGAACATTACATTATATTATATAATTAATATTATATATAATTATATATAATTAATATTATGTATAATTAATATGAACTCAAATGGCATAAGCACAAACGGGACGCGAAGTCCCATGCAAGGTGCAAACCCCGAAGCAGCGAAATACGTACATAAATAGAAATTACTTCATGGTTCATGAGCGCGTACGATTTTTATGCACGAGTTGCGAAAAATTCCTATAAACGAACGAGTGAGCGCAGCGAACGAGTGAGTTTATAGGAATTTTTCGCAACGAGTGTATAATAAAATCGTACAAGCGAATCAACAATGAAGTAATTTGTTTATTATATGAGTTATTATATAGTAGAGTGAAATTTAAGTGCTGAACGATAGACACAATTCAAACCAAACGTTTCAAACATATATAATATGCATAAAAAAGTACAACAAAAGCTACAACAAATGAATTATTTCGCTTTAAAATTCTTGTATTATTATTCTCCTGTTGTTCAATGAATTCGCTTACGGATGGTGTCTCTCATGCGAAGCCATTTCAAATTAAAAGTCGAACGGACATCTAAAAAAACTGATTGTTGTTTTCTTGTACGCCAGTGGCGCGGCGAAAAAAGTAAATACGAAATTTTTCACTAGCGACAAATTCCGTACGTCCGATGAGAAGGCTAATACGACGTTCTTCACTAGTGGCGAATGTCGTATGTCCAATGAGATCCTCAGAAACTTTAGGCATATGGTTTTTATTCGACAACTTTATCGCGTATAAAATTCAATACTCATATAATAAATATAAATACACACATATACATAAAATACAAATATATAAAAGCCGCTTCCCCCTATTAGTATGCACCATGAACACAACCACCTGAATGCTTCACGGATGTGTTAGCATAATAATTTCAAACTCACAAGCATAATGAATGCTTCACGGATGTGTTAGCATAATAATTTCAAACTCACAAGCATAATGTGGTTGCATTCAGTGAACACTATAAGAGAAGCCGTCTATTAAAACTACTTAAGATATGTGGCAGGAGCAGTCCCGCACCAGTGTCCAGGTGCATGGCATGTCCACGTCAAATGTTGCCTTAATCAAGTTAGCGTAAGTCGCTTTAAGAGATCTTTTGAAGACGGAGAGGCTGGCGAAGGTGGTAGAGGGAAGAATTTTGCAGACGTGGTTCCATAACTTGACAAGCCGGTTGAAATATGAGGATTGAAATGTTTTGGATTTACAGAAAGGAATTTTGAGTGTGAGAGAAGGATTTCGACTAAGCCGTGTTCGGCCATTGTTGACAAATGAAACGAAACTATGCACGTCAAGATCAATATCCATACAGTGCCTTAAAAAGTCTTAAGTCTTAAGCCTTACTAAGTCTTTTATTTCTCTCTCGTAGCACAGGGGTAATAAGCCAAGGGTTATCAGCCGCTGCTTATATGCAATTTCTCCGCGCTTGGCTTGCAGTATCCAAGAGGTGGCTCTCCTTTGTACACGTTCCACTGTGGATCTCATTTTGATGGTAGGTGGAGACCAGACTTCGGTGGCGTAACTTATCTGAGACTTCACGAGTGCCAAGTACAGCGTCCGCCTCACTGCGGTGTTAGTCAGTAGAGGGCAAGTTCTTTTAAGCATGCCAAGCATCTTGTTCCCTTTGGCGGTGATGGTATGAACATGATCGTCCCATGAGAGGTTGTAATTTATGAGGACACCAAGATCTTTTTCCTTATTCACGCGGGTAAGTTCCTTTGAGCCCATGTGATATGCGTACGTCGGCGGTTTTTTTTCCTTGTAATTGTCAACACCTTACACTTCGCCTCGTTAAAATTGAGGTTGTTGTCACTGCTCCAACAGTCAAGATCTGTTAAAGCTTGTTGCAAACTTTCACAGTCACCTACTGATGTGATGGACTTGTACAGTTTGGTGTCGTCTGCATACAAAGCTGCCAAAGTCTCGTCAGGTAATATGTCGGGAAGATCGTTTATGAATATCACAAACAGAATAGGACCCAGGAGACTGCCTTGCGGCACTCCAGATGTAACTGGCGCCCAATTAGATGTAGCTCCATCAATCACAACCCTTTAACGACGACCACTGAGATAGTCCGCGAACCATTCATATAAATGACCTGACACACCTTATGACGCAAGCTTGTGGAGAAGAATTTGGTGATCGACAGAGTCAAATGCTTTCGCAAAGTCGAGGTAGATAACGTCAGTTTGAACGTTTTCGTCAAGGGATTGCCCGATGGCGTGTAGTACCGATAGTAGTTGACTAACGCAAGATCGCCGTCTAAGGAAGCCATGTTGTGCTTTTGTGACGAGGTGCCTGACATGATTATATAGTCTGATGCACACGCAACGGTCTAGTACTTTGCCAACGATGGGAAGCAACGATATTGGTCTGTAATGTTCCGCCGGTTCTTTAAGATCTTTTTTGTGGGCGGGTGTAACATTCGCAGATTTCCACTCAGATGGAACATGCCCAATATGCAAGGAACGGTTAAACAACTCACATATGCTTGGTGCGATTTCAAGGGCGCATACTTGTAACAGGCGAGCTGGAATGCCGTCGGGGCCACATGCTTTCGAGGTATCAAGGGCACGCAAAAATTGCGCAACTTCGTCTACATCGAGTGTTATCTCCGAGATGTTCTCTTTGCTTTCCGTTCGAAGCGTCTGGTTACAAGTGGTAGAAGATGGACGAAACACTGAAGAAAAGTAAGTGTTAAAAAGATCCGCTTTTTCTTTCGCCGTCTTGGCTGTGAAACCATTATATGTTATTTCGTTGCTCTGACCTGTCCGGTGGTGAATAATTGATTTAAGGTAACTCCAGAATAGTTTGGGGTTGTCACAGAACGAACTTTCTATTTTAGCCAGATAGCCTCGGTGTTTACTTCGAATCAAGTATTTGATTTGTTGAGTAACGCTTCGTAATTTACGCTTTCGATCAGCAGATTTGTTCCTGCGGTATTGTTTTAGAACTTTGTACTTTTTACGGATTAGTTGACGCACTTCTTTATCGATCCATGGTGGACTATTTTTGTCTTTCACAGTTCTCATCGGAATGTACCTTCTCACCGTAGTTAATAAGAAAGTGTCGTTCCATTGTTCCCAGTCATCATTAATGCTATCAGTTGGGGTAACATTGATGGGATATCGTGTCAGGAAGTTACGTAGCTCATCGAAATTTCCTTTTCCATAGTCGAATACTCGGCGCTTTATTGGCTTGGCTCTTTTAAACTTCAACTTCACGTCAAATTCCACGATGTAGTGATCTGTTGGGAAACCACAGGTCTCAGGATGGAGAACGGAGACGTCGCCGACGATTTCAGGAGAGTTACACATCAACAGATCGAGTTTATTACCAGCAGTATGGGTAGGGCCAAGTATGTATTGCAGAAGGAAGTTGTCGTCTACCAAATCGCAAAAGATTTCATTCTCAGCAGGTCCTCCGATGTTGATGGGGGTTTTCTGATCAGACGACCATTTAACTGATGGTAGATTAAAATCGCCTATCAATACAATACGACTTGATTCTGGGTTGTTTTGGATAGAATAATTTAGCTGCTGAAGGACATCGGGTTTAGAGTCGGGGGGGGGGGGATAAAACGTGTAAAGTATGATTGGTTTGTTGTTAGATTTCATTAATTCAGTAAGAACAAGTTCCGTATTATCAGGTTCTAGATCACGTCTGCGTGTGACCTGTATACCAGTCTTCACAGCAACAAGAACACCACCACCAATTCTGTCAGCTCTGTCACATCGGAAGATACATCCATAATTAGGTAAGATCTCACTGCTTAAGATTAAATTGTTTAACCAGGTCTCACATAACGAGATTTTACAAACTTTTACCGATTTGTCCCCAATTGGATGAACAAATGCTTTTAGACTTCTGGCATTTAAATACAGAAATTTTAACCCGAAAGTTTTTAAATTATCTGTTTCGCGTGAACCAGTTGTAGGACCTGGGTTGGTTGCTATGTCGCCAGCAAGGAGAATAAGTAGCACAACGTGAGAACATTTGCGAGAAATGTGAAACTCCAGTCCGTAACGATGTTTGTCGGGAAGAGCAAACTTTCGTAACTTTCTATCACGCGTAGAAGCCCAGATAAAACACAGTTTGTCCGGTAAGATGGCAAGTTCCGAGGAAATAAGAATGCCTTTTCCAGTTGCATTTTCGATAATGTTCACATCAGGTTTAGATCTTGTTGACAGCCAGAAAGACACCACGAGACACACAGTCCAAAATGATGCTGATTTGGCGAACGCTTGGTGGGTTTTAAGCATTTTAATTCGTATTTTCCAAAAGGTTATAATTAATTCACTAGTTATTGATATAACTGTTCTAATAGATGACCGTAATTCCGTACGCACTCGAGTCAAACACAGTTCGTAAGATCGTCCTTTGAATTACGCGCGCAAACTTATCACGTAGTCGTATGCGCACGCCAAATTCAACCGTCCGGCTTGCGCGTGCTTATAAACCAGTTGTAAATTCTCTTGCAATTTGAAAAATAATTCAATAAAATACAGAGCAATATTTAAAATTTTACCACACCAACTTCACTTTCCCAAAGATAGTCACTTTATCCACAATTCTTTTATAAATTTAACCCAAAAAGTCGTAGAAATAGGGTCGAAATTCAGTAATTCTACGGAGCGATTTGACTCGCTGCTCGCGCGCCAAGCGCGTCACGTCATCCGAATATACATCAATACTCCGCCTCCGTGTCTGTTGCAATCTTTTCGAATTAGGTGAAAACTACTAACGCTTATTTCATCATCCGAAACCGACTCATTAATTTTAGATTCATTGATAGCTAAGATATCTAGAGGATTATTTAGCATAATTACTCGGAGTTCGTCGATGTTCTTTGAGAGGCTATTAATATTTAAGCATGCAATTTTTAACCCTTTTAAATTGTTTAAGTCCATACGGGAGAATTGATTATTAATATTATTGTTATCATCACTACTTATATTGATTGGGTCACACCAGGGTTCAGGTATATATACAAATTTTTCTACCTTATAAAATGCTAATTTCCCCATACTTAAGCTTCGGATACACGAGCAATATTTTTGCTGCGATGGTTCCGCAATGAGTGATAACAGCATTGCGTTGCCGTCGCACAACGTGGCTACACCTGCAATATTTCACCTGCAATATATGTCTTCATAACGCTTTTCATTGGCTGGTCAAGAAACGTGTCATTCATCAACCTTGACCTTCCTTAACCTTCCTTGACCACACCTCCCAATTTTCGGCAATCATTGCCGAAAATCAAATGATTTGAAATTTCGGCAACGATTGCGCGCAGCTTTGCGCTGTCATCGCAGAGCATGATACACAAGCAATTTCTTTCTCGCGACGGCAATGCAACGATTTTACCACCATTGCATTGTCATCGCCAGAAAAGTATTGCCGCTTTAAGCATGCAGTCACAGGCTCATAGCTTCAGGTATGATAAAGGATAATTAAAGCATTTCTCAGACCATGCAATCAGGCCTTGTCCGCCGTTTTACGCTGGCAATGCGTACAACAACAAATAAAGATGACAACAATAGCACTGTCAGTGTCTCTACTTCACTTCACTCAATCCACTCCTCTGCTTGTTACCGTCTATTTTCCCCGTGCAGTTTGACACTCAAAAAGACGGACCGTGAGAGAAAGGCTTATTAATTAAACTATTAAATCCATCTATCTATATGATGACATGCGTTATACCTTCTTAAATTCCGGACGTTTGTCTCTTTCGTAATCTATACAGTCCTTTAATAATTTCTTTAACGACTCCGGAGTATCAGATCGTATTTTGGTAAGATCCACAGTCAATTTTTCACATCCCACCTTATACATAATCTGAAACGGAACAATGTTGTCCTATTTTAGTATATTTGCAAAAGAAAATTGCCGTGAACGTTTGTAAATGAGACGATTTTCAACTAGCTGTATCTAATGAATGAGTATCATCTATAAACGTTCGCAGTTTGTATTCTTCGCTATACCTACCTTTTGTTGAAAAACTTTACATCATGTATAGTTAGTGTATGAGACATATACAATCATTGAATTTACGCTGTAAACAGTGCAGACATTGGAGGTGGGGGTGACGATGAGGGCAACCGCCACTCCTTCTACAAATTTTGAAAAGCATGAAACGATTGCTGACTAATACACGCTTCCGGAAAGTACGTCACGTTGGCTATGATATAGAGTCTCGTTTTCGTGATCGCGATGTTGGAATTTTGACTAACCCCACGTACACGAAAACGAGGTTCTATGACCAAGGTGACGTACTTTGGGAAAGGATGTATTACTGGCTATTACAACGATTTTACAACCATGAAAGCCTTAACATGATATCCTCCAAATCGTGAATTTTTCACAATTGTCCGTTGATTGGTGCAACACAGATTAAACTTTAGTATTTAGAAATTAAAGTTTCTTTGTATTAATTCTGAGTTCCATATCCGTACTTCAAGCATTTTAACATTTGAATGACGTATAAATGTTAAAAACGTTTAATTTAAGAAATGAGATTTGCAGGAGTAAGAGAGTCGATATATATTATTGGTAGGCTACAATTCGCACCCGAATATTTCGCAAGGTGTCCGGCACTGGTTGTAATGTCGTCTTCTATATGCTTAAGGTAAATTATCCTTTTCGACGTAAAGTATAACGCGCAATATGTTGTGACGGTTAGAAAACCGCTGTATACAACTACAATACTGTCCGGTATTTTTCGGGCCATGCAGATGCGCTTGTAATAAAACTTCAGGACGAACTACATCGTAATTCTATCGTGAACAACAATTATTTGGGGCCAGTTGTTCAAAACTGTTAACTACTTTTAAACTACTGTACTATGTTGTTGCGAAATAATAGTGAACTTTAACATGTGCGATTTTCGCCCGCATGCAATCTGGCTGGATCCACCATGAATTATTTATCTTGACATACACATGTAGATAATGTACTGTAGGCTGTCCTGAATAAACATTGTTCTTATTTGATTGATAGATATAGTACCTGGTAGTCCTGCTCAAAATCAGCGTACGGAAGAGTTCGAGACGTCAGTTCGTACAGGACATTGCCATAGGCATAGACGTCGGACATGTTCGAGTAAGGATTAGACCCTTTTTTCATCTGTATTATCTCCGGGGCCTTAAAAAGGAGCGGATTGTTAAAGATTAATGATAAAATATTAGATTACCAATGAATTGGTTTTTGAACTATGCAACAATTGTTGTGCATGTGTTCAGGCGAAGATATATTTAGGATGCTGTTCTCTGTGTGTGTCCACAATAGGAAAACTATGAACTGCAGGGATCGAACCGGGTTGCAGAGTGAAAGTTTCATGCAGTAAATTTTACTGTCTAAACACTGTGCCGACAAAACTGTATGTGAAAACAAACATCGCCAATAGGCGAGCTACAATAATCTTCTTTTTCAGAACAACAAAAGGACGGTAATTTGGTGGCAACCTAAATTTGCTCCGCCCAGCCCGCTATTTCGCGAAGTGAACCACACTGATACATACCATCCAACGTACGGAGCCAGATGGGGTTTCAAAGTTCTGTGCATTCCACCTTGTCTTTATAGTCGCCAGACCAAAGTCGCCAATCTTCACCGTTAAATCTTCTTGAAGAAAAATATCTGTACAAAATACGTGAAGGGCAATATCGAGAATTTTTAAACCATGAATAATAAATGAAAAAAAGTATAAAACAAACAATATAACAAAACAAACAATATATACAACAGTATAAAACAACAACAACAACAGCATCAACAACAACATCAACAACAACAACAACAACAACAACAACAACAACAACAACAACAACAACAACAACAACAACAACAACAACAACAACAACAACAACAACAACAACAACAACAACAACAACTTTCCGAAAACAGAAAAATTAATAGGATAACTGGCTTATAAGTATATAGAAAATAGGATGGTTTGGAGTGCAATCTGGATAAAACAAGCACAAGTGAGTTTTTCCAGGAACATCAAAATATAGCGAGGGTCCGAAGAACTAGTGCTATTTGGGGTCTTTGAAAAACTCACAAGTGCTTGTTTTATCCAAATTTCACGAGAAACCATCCTATTACGTGTTAATAATATACATAAAAATGTTCGAGACAATTGCAGTTTTAATTTGACAAAGTTGTCTTTCTTTGTTATTTTTACACTGTTGTTACAGATTTTTGCACTGTTGTTACAGAATTTTGCACTGCTGTTTGAGATCAACTGCATTAATCGTCAAGTGTTTCCGAAGTTTTACAACAAAAGGATACTATTTGACTTTAAATCACGATGAATAATTGACTTCGCATGCAGATAACTAAAGTAGAATATAATGTTAATAATGTTCAGCCAGAAGTAGAATTCAAGTAGTCTATAAAATGACTATATACTATAGGTTATTTTAGAACTAAAAAGGTACATAAACGTTAACTATATGGGAAATCCTTTATCGAGAACCAATAAAGTCATCCCATATTGGTCCAACACCATGCAAAGTACATGGTCAAATTATGAGGTGCTTGCAGTGGCGAAGCTAGATATGGCAAACAGTCTGAAAACAACATAATTATTTGGAAATGTAATTTCACTAATTCAACAATGTGCACAGTGCATGAGGTCCGACTTTTTTGTCCGCGCCTCTCATATCAGCTGACCGGCCACCATGTTCCCACGAAGTGCGCGGAAGAGAAGCGGTCACTCCCCCACCCCCTCCATCCAAAAATATTCCAATTGGCAGGCTTGACGTTCGGAGGTGAGTGCCTTCTCGTTAACGTACTGGCTGGGAACATGGCGCCCGGTTACAGGTGTTTTTGGGGTGTTTTTTTCAGTCGGACCTTTGTATAATCCATCGAACTGGAAACATGGACAGTTAAAGTGCACATGACATGAATTTTTTGGCCTTAACTTTATTGCTTTACTCAGTACCCTTCAAATGACGAAGAATGGTGGTTACAGTGTTCTCATATCTTATCTCAATCCAGAGTTATTACAGATTTTTTAATTTGAGCCATGACGTCATAAGTTGTGCTAAAGTTGCAAGAAAAACTTAAAGTGGAATATCTCCAAGAGGATTTGAGCACATTAAATGAAACTTTGCACAGATGTTGGTGCAGTCACACATACATTTTGGTATGTTTGTGTGGTTGTCAAGGCAACGCAATAGTTCCCAGTCTCCGTGCATCAAGTCACACGGTTCCTGCTGTATACTGGCTAAGAAAAGCGCCTGTTTCACAGTTTTTAGTTGACAAGTACTAAAATGTTCCCATAAAGAACATAAGCAATGAAAACAACAAAAATAGCCACTTGTGTTGTTGGAAATATAAAACTAAGTTTATGCAAGAAAGGAAACTGGAAACTAGGGCATTGCCTTGACAACAAAATAAACATACTTGCAAGTGATGAACCAGGCGGGAATCGAAATCGTAGTATAAAGATTAATGCCCAGCATAACGTACGCAAAATAGCCATATAGACAATAATATAGACATAAAATTTATTTAGAAGTACTAACTTTCGTCTTTAACCTAAGACATCTTCAGAGTAAATGAATATAGTATGACAATAAGTTACAAATATGAATAAATTACTATTTACAATATCAAATTACAGGGTAATAGGAATGCGGAGGATGGGGGGGGGGGGGGGGGGGGGGGGGGGGGGGGGGGGTTAAAGGAAAGAAGTCAGAGGAGTGAGAGAGGAATGGAGCTACCTTGCTGATTCAAAGTAGGTTTGAGTCTTGAGATGAGAAGACTTTCACGGACGAGAAGTTCATCTGGAGAGGAACAGGATGATAGGATCTTAAAATCATCAAGAGAATCATCATTTTCTCTTCATTAAGAGAATCATCATCTTCTCATCTTAAGACTCAAACCTACTTTGAATCAGCAAGGTAGCTCCATTCCTCTCTCACTCCTCTGACTTCTTTCCTTTAACTCCCCCCCCCCCCCCCATCCTCCGCATTCCTATTACCCTGTAATTTGATATTGTAAATAGTAATTTATTCATATTTGTAACTTATTGTCATACTATATTCATTTACTCTGAAGATGTCTTATGTTAAAGACGAAACGTTAGTACTTCTAAATAAATTTTATGTCTATATTATTGTCTATATGGCTCTTTTGCGTACGTTATGCTGGGCATTAATCTTTATACTACGATTAAAATAAACATACCAAAATGTATGTGTGACCGCACTCAACAACTGTGCAAAGTTTCATTTCATTTGCTCAAATCCTTTTTCCTGCAACTTTTAGCACAGCTTATGACATCATAGCTCAAATTACAAAAACTGTAACAACTCTGGATTGAGATAAGATATGAAAAACTGTAACCACCATTACTTGAAGGGTACTTTCTAGTAAAGCAGTAAAATTAAGGCAAAAAATTCATGTCATGTGCACTTTAAAAAAGCTGATTAATAACCATATATTGAAAGCAACCTTCTCACTGGTTGCCGAAGCGTCGCAAAGATCACTGCATGAACAACATACATACATACATACATACATACATACATACATACATACATACATACATACATACATACATACATACATACATACATACATACATACATACATACATACATACATACATACATACATACATAC